TTCCATTTGATTATAAAGCATCTCCATCTGAATATAAAGCAAAATAAATCAAAGACAACTGCTTCGTGAATTCTTCTCCATTGATCTGCATTAACCACATGTATATTCAAACAGGATACGTTTAAACTGTGCCTTTAATAAATGCTCTACAAAAGGAACACTTGTACATTGCACGTGCGCAGGTTGAACACCAATAACACAAATGACAAAATGAAGGCAATTGAAACATCTTCTTTTATACAAATTTGAAACTGGATTATATATAAAACTAATTTTATCCGATCACATCAAATCAATTTATAAATGATAATCATAATGATAATATCAATGACATTTTTTTTTAGACATTCATTTTTAAGGAACCTTTTTTTGCTCAGTATAGTGAATGGAATAAAAATAGACTTATATGTGCAAAAAAAGTAACCATACCCTGCAAAGTCTTTGTACTTTGAGCCTTCTGTTTTCATCTATGACAGACTGTGTTTCATCTAAATATGAATAATGAAACGTATGGAGATAACAACCAGTTTTCAAGATCAAAAGTCCATAAAACAATACAAAATAGGAGCAGAGCAAACATTAACCTCCAAAACATTAGAGATTGGATCTGTTGCTATGAAGGAGTGAGCATCCCCTGCTGACCGTTCACACCCGCCGTGTGCTCTTTGTCATGATCGGGAAATAACGGAAATTCCGTCTTCAATACAGTGTATAGATAATGGACTAAAAGTTAGTATGAAAAACGTAAGTCAGCATTTGACTCCAAATTAAATTTTATTTGTTTACAAGGTCATTGTTTCGACCATAGAACTTACAAAATGATGACTTTAAAGAAGGCTGTTTATATTTTTGTTTCATCAAGTTTTTTTTATCAATAATTTACCTCGTTTTAGAAATTGTTCATACGTAGAGCATGCTCTTCTGTATCAAATCAACTGAGATACATACACTCCATATGCAGGTGATGAAGGAACATTGCTGCATAAGTAAGGAAAGTTGACGATAGAAAAGTTAGTCATCACGTTTATAATAGAGCTGGGTTGTTAGATTACCAATAATGCCTTTTTCAAGTTAAATATCCAAATACTGTAGATTGGCAAATAATCACGATGATTTTAATTTCGCTATGTTCGCGATTAATCATTTTTCCGCGAAAATAAACCCATCGTGAATGCTGATGTGAGTTTTTAAAACGTTTAAATGCTTATACGGAATTTTGAATTCATTTCTTGCAGCGTGAAATTAAAACCATCGCAATTTGCACTTTTTGAGATGTCGTGAAATTTTAACACCGTGGAATTAAAACGACTTACAGTATGAAACAGATGTTTTGGACTCTGCGGTATCTTTTATCTCAAGCTTACCAGTATATATCGTGTCGACATAAGAAAATGACTCATGCCAGTCCTTTGAATTGATGAGCAGGATATAGAAAATAATCATTATTATCTTTATGGCCCTTTTCTTAAATTTATAACATGTATCGAATTCAGTATTGATATATCTCTTTTTTATTTTCATTATAAACACCTGTAAAATAGATATAAAACATAAAGATAGGTATACCACTCAAACGTATGGCTCCTGATTCTTCAGATATACCTTAGGTTGACAAAAAGCTGCTTTCTCTGCCTGTTAAAAAGAATTTGTTTGAAATCATTAATTTTCTTTGTTTACGAGGTATACATATGATGATTCTACCGGAATGTAAATTAGGCAGGTCAATGGATCAGGAGCTAAGAGGCCTAATATGCAAGCAAATCTCGTGCGCATCTGTCTCTGAGTCTGACGCTAAAGAAGCCATGTACTGTGAAATATTTAATTTTTATGGAGGTGTGGTTTTCAAGGTATGAAGAGACTCACGAATTTATGTCCACCATGAAATGCATTTTTTCACATACTTTACTACTGAACATTTCCCCAGCCACAAAATCAAATCCCTATGAACAAATTTATTTTCTTCAAACCTTGAAAAATGACACCCTCCACATTATGTGATTTACATAATTGGAGGGACTCACGAAGTTATGACTACAACTAAATGTAAAATTTCATATGCATTTCTTCTAGATAATTTTAGACGAAATCAAACCACCCACAAACCCATGTTCCTCATCCTGATCTGGGGATGAATTCAGCATCTTTGAAAATGGTATCATTATACTAGTCTAAGAAAATTAACTCTTGAATACACACATTCTGAGAGAAATAATTTTAAAATAAAAAAAATCCCAAAACAAGCAATAATAAAAACATGTTCCTTTCTTGTTGATTTTCATGTACTTCTCTTTAATTGATTTCAAAGTATAGCCCATTTTAAAAATTTCATATGCTACTGGAAATTGCTAAAAATCTAATGAGTTTTAATGATAAAATCTATAGCAGGCTAAAGAACTCTGTATGACACATATTTAAAAAAGAGTGTTTTCGGCGATCACGGCGATATAAGAATTTAATATGTTACACGTTCATGTCGTTTACTTTTATTACGAACGGTTATTGTCAGATGAATTATCCTTACAATGACAGAAATTTCAGCATCAACTTGTATTTCGTCAATAACTCCGCGAATAAAGCTGCAACCATATTCATTCTGTGGTCAGTCTTTTGAGGTTAAAACGTATGTTAAGTACAACCAAGAGGCGCATCACTCGGTCTAGTGCATTAACATTGATGATGAAAGTCATCAGTTCGTACATTCTTTGATCCCTTCAACAGCTGTTCAAAGACTTTTTCAGCAAATACAATCTATCAAGATGTCAATTGATGACTGTTGTATTTTAACCTACTATGTAATCGTCAATTGTTTTCACATTGAATTGCTGACAAATTTCTCCGTTATTTCCTAATCAATGCAAGAAGCCAACCCTCTATGGATCCTGATGACCACCTCTGATGTTTTATACATCCGTATTTGCTCTGTTCTTGATTTGCACAGTTTAATGAACATTTGAGCTTGAAAACTCTTCGTTTTTTTCATATATATTTTATTGGATGAAAAAAAGATTTTCTTTAAAAATCTAAAATACATGTTACTGTTTAAAATATATATTCCGTCTATCAATTTCAGACGATGTCAAGTCAAATTGTTTGGAAAATTCATCAATTATTATAAAACTGCTATGATCAAACTCGACGAAAAGCAGATGCTCAAGAGAATTTCCTTTTTTTATTTTTCAAAATCGTTTGAAAAAAATAATTCGATTTTTTAGAATTTATTTTACAACCATAACCAATATAGTTAAATCATATGATTTTTTAAGTCCTGATGCAAAATCCAATTTTGAAAAAAAAAAACCGGATATAATCAACGGTGATCAGTTATAAAAATGAATAAAAAAAGTTACATCTTTGATTGGTTTTCGAAGGCTTTTGTTATATGTCCTTTGTCTTAATAATTACTAGCAATTTCTATTGTTAAATCTATTAATGTGTTACTTTGTCACTTATAAAAGTTTTAAAAGACGTTTAGAATCCTCAGAAAAAAATTAAAGTTCTCTCAATCACCACTTATCACATTCAGATATATAAACCTTAGTTTTTTTATTATATAAGCATGCGCAAGTCTATAGCTTATAGCAAATCATTCGCCATTTTCGTTTTTATGCCTCAAGTTATGTGTGAGGCATTAACATATCAATTTTTGAGCTCCAACCCAATATTCAGACGCTGATACGAGGAGATTTTTTCCGAATGTGAGAGGTATCGAATTTTTAATATATTATGCCACTGATTACAACAAATCACACGACCTTTAAAAAGTGTTTAGATACTGACCTTTTGAAAGCAGTTAATTAAAGTTGTTGATTAATTTGTTTATTGATTTACATTTTTTTTCGTTGAAATTGAAGTAACGTGAATTTTGTGTAAACATATTAAATAAAAATATCATGGTAAATAGGAATACAGGTTGTGACCTGAATTATTGATTAAATATTTAAATACCCAAGACACAATTTAAACAACACTGAAAATAAATCTACATGAATGTCGAATGATTATCGATAAAACTGGCGAATGCTTTTTCACAAAGCCACCCGATATGAGATTTCAACTTTATTTATCTTGTTCAAAATAAATAAGAAGTAATTTATTACCCATTGAATGTAATCATTTCATTGTACTGCTGCTTCCTTTTATGCTTTAAATTTAATAATATGAATGATTTGGATAATTTGTGCTTGTTTGGTTATGCAACTTCTGTAATCTTTAAAACATATTATTGCTTTTTCTTTTAGTATAACGTCTACAATTATCAGTATATCAAAATTTAAATTGAATGTATATTTTTTTAAGCATTTAATACATATTTAGCAGACTACGCCAAAAGTATGTGTTAACTTTTCATGTCGAATAAAATTTGAATACTTTGAATACTGTAATCTAACAACCAAGCTTTATGATAAACGTGATGACTACTACTTTTCAATCGTCAATGTCCCTGACCTATGCAGCAATATACCTTTTTCACCTGCAAAGGGGGTTTAAATCTCTCAATTGACACGATACGCAAAAGCATATTCTACGTATGTACAAATTCTAAAACGAGGTAAATTATTGACAAACAAGTTGATGAAACAATACTATTAGCAGTCTCGTTAAAGTCATCATTTTGTAAGTTCTGTGGTCCACACCATAACCTTGTCAGCAAATACATATAACTGATCATTAAGTCAGAGGTTGACTGGACGTTTTTCATACTAATTGTATAAAGCCATATTCACACACTGATTGTCGACAGATTTTCCCGTTATTTCTCGATTATAACAAGAACACGGCGAGTGTGACTAGTTGGCAGGGGATGCTCACTCCTCCAAGGCGCCTGATCTTCTGATGTCTGTGAGATTCATGTTTGCTGCGCTACTATTTCATAGAGTTTAAGGACTTTTGAGCATGAATATATACAGTTCGTTATCTCCATATACGTTTTACCTTAACAATGCTTTATATCATTACAGATTGCGAAAGCGACGCTGGTAAAGGTTAACACTAAACGTAGTATGGATTTATCGGTGTCAAATCTACCTCAAAAATGGACAGAGGACGGTATCAAAGAAGGATTAAAAAGAACCTCCATCGACTTGCTTATTTCCTGTGGATATGAAAGTTCTGACGCAGTTTCAACATTAACAGAAAAAGATATTCAGAATTTAGACTTGCCTATGGCACAGAAAACAATTTTGAGAAGATGGGTTATTAAGATTTTGCAATCAAAAGGTGAAAGTGAAGTGCTAGTAAATGCTTTTCACGGGAGTTTCAATAAAAGTTTGAGTGAACAAAATAGCTTCAAGCATGATAAACATTTGTATAATTCAGATATCCAACCTAATAAACAAACTCGGAAATCACAGCATGGAGATTGTGTAAAAGGCATGTACAACAGTTTTAATATTTAAAATAAACACTAGTTTGATATGTCTTTTATTTGAAAATTTAAAAATAAGTGAGTACATTTTTATATTTTACAGTATCTTCCTCCTCAGAGGATAGCAGCAATGATATAGAGGAACCAATAGATGAACTAACGGAACATAGTCATAAGGGTACATTTCCACCTGTTATACAGAGGTATACATTGCATATATATATATATATAATATATATATTTCGTATTGCACATTTATCAGTACAATATGTATTTAAAAGTCATTTTTTCTAAAACTTAAAAAAAAAACCCAAAACACAACACTTTTCAATATATGATATAAAAGTCAACATGTAAAAAATACGTCTGATTGTTTCTCTATAGTGAAACGAACTTTTAATTGATTTTTTAAACACACTGGTTTTATTAATTTGTTTGTTTAATTTTTAGCACCAGAGTGTAAATTTGTTTGTTTACCTTGAGCAAGCTATTGCATATCATATCAATTGTGCTTTCATATGCCGCATAAAGATTAGCATTTATTAATTATAAATCTTTCAATTTTATCATTATATAGATTAAAATCTTTTTAAAACAAATATGCAATAACAAAATCAATTTACTAGAGAGGGATATTAAACAATATATGTTACAATCAATCAATTAATTTCATTGGGATGTATATTGTCGATATATAAAAAGTGGTATATAAGGTCCATGGAATATCAAAAAAAAGACATTAACTTCATATGAACAGATGAAAATTTGTTATAGTTTTTGCATATATTTTTGTAGGGAAGTTGATTGTGAAAATAAATGATTTTTTAATGCAATTGTTAACTTTAAAGTTTTGCAAGTCTCACAGACAAAAAGGATTTTGCAAAATTTCCGAAAATTTTAACGTCTTTTTTTGTTGAATTCCCAAATATGCAACTGAGTTCAGACTCTGTTATTTCATTTTCAGCTAGAGAGGGACATTAAACAATCACTCAATAAATCAATTTGATTGGGATATATTTTGCTGATATATGTTGTGGCACAAAAAGGAAAAAAAGGGGAAAATTGACAAATGTAGAATTTTTGGATAACCCTGTAACATTTTGTTCAATATTCCTAAAAAATTAGGTTTCAGAAATTTACAGGCATCACTTCAGAACCTAAAATTGCATGAATGTAATGTAAGGAGAAAGCATAAAACTGCACAGATCATAATTTTCAGTTGACTACGAATCATTGCAAGAGGATTATTCATGCCATAGTTCCGACCCCACAACACCCCAAATATCGACTTCAAAAATCTCAGATGAATACAGTATGACCACAGCATCACTGCTGAACATTTTGGTGCGCAGAAAAAAGCCTTTTAATGAAGTTGCCTCCACGTTAAAAAAGTTGGTGGTGGTAGTGTTATGATATGGAAAATGGTATTATAAGAAAGTAAGATTTATCGAATTCAATGGACTTTGATGAAAAAATGTAACCATGTTCTACCTACACAAAAATTTTGATGTAATTTTTTAATACAAAGCCACATATGGCGCGTTTGACACACTTATTCTTGCAAAGAAACAACAACCTGTTTCAGTCACAGTCATCTAAATCGCTAGATTTAATCCAAATTAATCAGCATTGGACAAAATGGCTTGACATGATTTGCCAAAGACAATCGCATCCCCAGACTCTGCAACAGCTGACTAAAGTTCTATATTTGGATTGGGAGAGTATTCCTATACAGTTTTTATTACACACATTTGCTTCCATTAGATGCCGTTTGTGACTATCATTTGTGTCTGCGGGGGGGGGGGGGGGGGGGCATACCAGATTTAATCTTTAATGGTCTTAAACTGACTATAATTTTAAAATTGTTCAGTAATTTGACATAAGTCTATTCCCGTTGCTTACCACATTTCTGTTTTATCAATGCATCATTTTACTAAATAATCTTTATGTTCAGTGTGTCACTTTTAAATACTTTTTTTGAAGAGTATATGTTGTCTATTCATCTAAATGTCGAGTTGAAGGCAACAGCAAGTCTTTTTTCCTTCTCATGTATATGTTTCTGAAAAAAATTACTCCGTATGAATACAAATATGTCTGCGAGATAACACTGTGGATCCCCATACAAATGTGTATCCTAAAACCATCAATTTGCAAAGCAGAAAATCAATCATTTAAATATAGAAAAAAAAACCAACAAAAATAAAAATAAAGATACATGTATATAAACTTAGTATTTATATTTAGTAAATGTTTTTCGTTATTGCTATTAATATTAGTGTAAGAAAAAAAGATTAAAGCTCGATATAACGATTACTGGAACCCCTTGTTAAATAAGTAACTTTTAATTCAATCAAATTATAGGAAATATTAAAACTGATATAAGGGCTACACGATTTTAAAATCAAAACAAGTTCGATATAATTAGTATTTTAGGTAGAATTTTTTTTTACTTTAAAAATTCCCATGATAAAATCAAACTTTATTACATATATACATATAAATAAGGCTTTGGTACATTCCAATTAACTGGTATTAGGGGAAAAATAAAATAAAAATATAGCTTGTATGTCGATTCGTGGGTTTGTTTTGTGAAGAAGTCTAAGCATAGAAGTACGTTTATTTCTTAAATGAGAAGCAAGATAAATGTTGTGTTATTTGATACACACTGCAATGAATAAAGAATTTGAAAATCTTCTTTCTCTATTAAGAATCATGACTAACAGTAATAAATGCTGCTATCATGTTATATTAAAATATTCTTTGATTTTAGTTTGGTTAATGAAGATATTTTACCAATAAACATGGAAAACACGGGTGAAATTGCTCCAAACAGTTCAACCAAAGGTAACAAAAAGATGTCTGATATAGGATAATCTATATGTAATGAAGTTGAATACTTAAAATGAATACCATGAAAATATGGAGTTTGAAAACATTTGAAAAGAATTTTCGAATAAGTTATTTTTGTTTTCATTTTTTCAAAGATTCATTTGAAATATTCATTTATGGGTAATATTTAGGTGGGAACTCAATTACCATGAAGAAGCGAACGGATGTCAGAAATACATCTAACTGTGTTATCGCCGACAAACTTCACGTTGTGAAAAATGAGTTTGTACTCCAAGGAAAGAATAAAGGAGAAACAACATTGTCAAAAAACATAAAAGGTACATATGAAATGCACTGAATTCACTGTCAATAAGCTGTAATACTTAAAAGTTTATCAACGTATCGAAACTATTTGGGTGATTGAGTAAGGAATTGACATGACATATTCAAACCCAAACATAATAGGAATGTTTCAATATCAATATTGTTTAGTCTTGCATTGCTATTCCGAAAACAAGATCTTTTATTACATTTTCTTGTGTAAATATATTTTTTCTACCAAAGAAATACAAACGTTTCCTACCTGTTATATTGTCCATAGACTTTGCTAAATGTTGACTTAACACAAAGTACTAATTATTGCTATTTTAATATTTTTAATGCAAAAAAATGTTGTTCAACTTTAATTTGCCAACCAATCAAAGTTATATTATTATATTCTCTGTCAGTTAAAATAACTTTCCAGTAAAAACGTGAAAAGAATCTGAGCTTCAATTTCGCTTGATTAGAAAGGTTTTTTTCGCTAAATAGATAAAGTATTTATAATGGGGAAAAAACCCTTTCTAATCAAGATCATTCGGAAAAAGTAGTTTGATTCAATACATTCATCTGAGAGGAAAAAAATGAATATCTCTGAAATAAAAATTATTGAAAGGATAAAAAAAATATATAATTCTTCAAGGTCTAGAAATTGATTTACCTTTTCATCTAAGGACTCTTTTTTGTTTTTCTTTCATTATTATTTGGTTGACCTGATATCGTACCCACATTAATTTTATCAGAACATCATTTTAGCTATAATTATTGAAAACTAAAAGAGCTAATGCGGTGGTTTATGGTAGCAGTTACTTTTTTTCAATTTATTTTCTGCTTTATTTTGTGTTTGAACATTAGACCAAGGATACATTCCGAAAACTCATATTCTTTGTAAACATTTTTTTGGTGAAAGATGTTGCAATTCTCTCCCATAATAAACTTGTGAAGTTCTATAACAACATTTTGTTATTGAGTTTTAGTCTGAAGTTGTTATAACTGGGAACAAAACTACCATAAACATGTATCAAGATCAGTTAAATACATTATGTTCTATATAGCTTGCCAGAGTTACTAAAACAGATAGTATAAACAATTCTTTAAACTCTGCATACATCACTAACTGACAATACTGATTAATTGAGTTTTCTTTCTAGATCTACTCTGATGTTTTTCTGATTAAAGCTTTAAAATCATTCATAAATACGCAACAAATTTATTTTTTAAAAAAATTATTAAGGATAAATTATACGTAATAAAAATGTGAAGATGTATCAGAGATCAATCACATCCCAAAAATCCCAGTTTCCAGATATAATTATTTTTTTTGTTTTACATTTTCAAGTGAAAAGTTATTGCAAAATATGAGTCATGATATTACAGTCACTGTGTATAACAAAAAATTAAGAAAATATTAACTTCAACATCTCTGTACAGGCAATTTTTTATACTTTTCTTCTAGTGTCTGATTAAATATTTTCTTTTTTACACATATTCTACTATTGATGTACCCGACTTTAAATAAATATTATCTAATCTTACTTATTATCTTACAATGTAATTTATTTACATTAAGATATGTCCTATCTTAAATGTACTTATGTCCGCGGAAAATTGATTGAATAATTTTTCAAAATTACTGGTTTAAATGTGTTTCATAATTTCAGGAACGACAAAGCTGACCCTTAAACAACAACAAGAAAATATATCAATGACAACTTATGCCTTTACAGCAGCTGAACAGATACTAGAGGATTTGAATTTCGTCATGATATCTGGAAGACCTGGTGATGGTAAAACCTGTATTGGACGAAAATTATTAGCTCTCAAGGCCGAACATGGTTTTGATCCTTACTGCATAAACTCGGTCAAAATTCTTCAAAAAATTCTTAACGTTGAAAAGCGCCAAATATTTTTCATGGATGACGTATTTGGAACAGTGACCTCTGATAAAAACAAAGTCAATAAATGGTTTCACCATTTCGAAAATTTGCGATGTTCAGTAGATGGAAATAAAGGGAAAACTTTACTCGTCTTTGCCTCTAGAAATTACATACTTAAAGACGTTCTTTACCTGCTTGATAAAGGATCATTTTTCAAGGCATTTAGTATCGTTGATTTGTCGAATGATCATTGTTTAACAATTGACGAAAAAGAAAAAATGGCCAAAATATATAACGAGAAATTTAACTTAAATTTGTCAGAAGATGAAATCAATACCATATGTTTACTTGATACATCATATGGATTTCCATATGCTCTAAATCTTTTCAGTAAATCTTCAAAAATCCGACAATTAGGATTAAAGTTCTTTGAAAATCCAAGAGAAAAGCTATTGTCAGAAATATCGGGATTTGCTCATAAGGATAAAATTAAGTATTGTACATTTGTAATGACATCAATAATGGAAAAAGTCAGTATTTCTAAATTGGACGATAGTTGTGAAAAATCAAATGAACAAAAGCTCATACTTAGAGTATCTGGACTGTGTGATAATACCCCTTTCACAGACATAATTAAAACATTCAAAAAACTTAAAGATATTTATTTTCAAACACATGAAGGTGATACGTTTATCTTTTCACATGAAACATATAAAGAAGCTACGATGGCTAACATTGCAGAAACACATCTGAAGCTTGTGTTAGAAAAATTTGATTTTGATTTCATTTTGTCATCAACAGCTACGACGAATTCCGGAGAAGAAGATGCCTATTCCATACATGTTATTCCCAGGATTTATTTTAAAGTCTTAGCGCAACGATTTATTGACGAATACAAGAATGAAATATACAATTTGTACAACATTATGAAACATCGTTGCTGGGACGATCTTTGTTTTGTTTTAGAATTTGAACAATTTATGTCTGATCATTCACTTTTTCATAATATGATTAATTTCATGCAGTCAAGGGGCACTTTGGATAAAACAACTTTCTTCTGGTCCATTTGGCATAAAAAAGAAAAACTTGTTTTGTACATTCTGGATAAATGTAAATCAAAAAACATGACAGATGATTTATTGTCTTTGCAAAAAGACACATCAGACGGCTTAATCGCTGCATCGTATAGAGGTTTGAGTAGAGAATGCTTGGAGCTCTTGATAAAATTTGGAGGTGACGTTAATGCAGAAAGTACTTTCCAAACATTCGGAGAAGATGATGATGGATATTATGAAGACCAATTTTCATGTTTTGAATTCATATTTGATGATAAATTTGGACACGAAGTTCTGGTTAGAAAGATGACACCTCTTATGGCCTCTATATATGGAAAACAACCAAACATTCTACAATTCTTACTTAAGAAAGGGGCTCAAACGAGAATCCTTCAAGACAACGGCATGTCAATGGTTCATCTGGCTGCCATTGAAAATGACATACACGTTCTTAAAGTATTATTAGACTACCCTTTGAATGGTTTCCCAGGTGGTGATAACAAGGGTTATACGCCTTTTCATTATGCAAAATCACTAGATATCATCAAAATATTGTATGAACATCATCCACATATTTTACAACTGCGATGTAGAGGAGGCAATACTCCATTGCATTTATGGGCTCGAAGAGTTTTCTTTCACAGTACACTAAATAAGGAAATTTGCAAATGGGTATGTTTGAAAGCGCCTAAACTTAGTAACTGTAGAAATCAGAATGGTTTGACTGTTATTCATTCTCTCGTAAAATCTAATCAGGAAGACAACGCAGTCGCAGAAATGATTGAAATTTTAATAACCTTTGGAGCAAATGTGAATGCTTCAACAAACAGAGGTAGAACTCCATTACATTCAGCTGCAAGATCCTCCAATGTCCGATCTCAGACCGCACAAATTCTTCTGAAATATGGGATTCAGATAAATGCAAGGGATATAGAAGGTCGCACAGCTCTTTATTATGCTCTTTTCACGGATAATAAAGTTTTAGATGTACTTCTTAAAGCTAAAGCTGATCCAAATATCATTGACGAATATGGACTCCCTATCTTACATAGCTTGATTACAGATGCAGGTGATGGTCTTTTAAGAAAAGAAACCAGTATTCAGTTCTCACACGAATACAGATTTGACTTTAAATTAATAGAGCAACTCATTAAGATTGGATTAGACATTAATCTAAAGAGTACGAAAAACGATAATACAATTCTTCACCATCTTTTGTCCTCTATGAGCATGTTGCCGACATATAGTAAGATAGAGATACTTTTAAAATTGGGAGGTGATCCAAACCAGAAGAATAATAAGGGTTCTTCTTCAACTATGTTTGCTGCGTGTGTTGGTATTCCACTTCTACAACTTTTAATTCAATTTGAGGGAGACATATCTTTGTCAAATTGTAAAGGTGAAACAATTGCTCACAAGGTTCTTCTTAAATGTACTGAAAACCATGCATTGTCCGTTATCACTTACTTGCATGAAAAACGTGTATCTGTTCATAACCCAGATAATTCCGGAAAGACACCTCTGGATATAGCATTTGAAAGGCGTTTCGAGAATGTTATTAAATTTCTATTGAAGAACTGTCCTTCAAAAACTTTGTTTTCTTTAGCATTATCAAAAGGTTTACGTTTAGAGGAATTTGACAAGGAAAACAGAAATGTTTGCAACTTTTTGGTATCTGCGAACCTAGAGGAGTTTGAACATATTGAAAGAATCAAAAGCATACTAGAAATATGTAAGCCCAAAATGCTTTCCTTTTTAAATGATGAACAGGCAATACGCACAACGTTAAAACGTAACAAATTCAACCTCTTGAAATATATGATTAGCATTGCAACCCCAGTTACAAGGAGGTCAATAAAAGATTTGATTCCTGAGATGATTAATTATATGCAAGGGAAATTATTGATAGAAATTTTGGAGATGCTATCATGTCAGATGAATGTAAAAATATTCACGGATGCTTTCATTGATGCAGTAAAAAAGCCAAGGGAAGAGTTTTTTTTATCGTTCTTGATAAATAAGGGAGCATCTGTAGACTTGTTTTCTGAAGGAGAACGCCTGAGTTACATTTTTGGACTTATTGGTTCAGAGTGCCCTGATTCAAAAATAGACAATGTGTTCAAATTACAATGTGTTCAAATTTCTAATAAAGTACCTTTCTCTTTTAACAATAATGAATATGGAAGGATTGAATTTCTTGCAAGCAGCCATAGCCTATGACTCAAAGACAATGCCAAAAAGAAATAGAATAAGCGTGATATCATATCTGATTAAGGAAAGAATAAATGTAAATCATCATTCAAAATCTGGAAATACTGCTCTTCACTATTGCATTTTATCTAATCGACCTTTTGAGGAAAAGAACAAAATTTTACAATTGTTGCTCTAAAATTATGCTAATGTTGATGCCAAAAATCTCAGCGGAGAAACGGCTTTAACAATTGCTTTCAATGCAGCAGGAAAAATCATATGCTCAATGGAATCAGTTGAGGCTCTAATCAACCATTCCAAATATTCGAAGAAGTATATCATTATTAAATATTTGAAAGAATATACTTCTTACTACGTAAATTTTCTTGATCAGTCGGATATACAGAGGGGGAAATTAATTTTTTTATACACCTTACAAAACCTATTAAGGAGCAGTGACCTGATTCAGCCTTTAAAAATTTCATTGTTGAAAACCATACCTGAACTTACAGACATGTGTTTGGATATTGGTGCAAATGTAAATGAAAGGGATTCCGAGGGCAACACTCCTCTCCATTACATTTTTTCATCCAATGCAATTCAAGAAGAAAGGAATAGATTGTGGAAGTATATTAAGCGTTATTCTTCAGAGGATGACTACGAATTTGCATTTATGAACGCATTTTATCACCTGAGAGGACTTGAACAATTGGAATTTTTACTTATATCAGGAGCTTATGCAAACATTGTAAATAAAGATGGTGATAGTCCTTTGCATTTGTGCGCTAAGTCAAATTTTCTCGCAATATTTACTTACATCGCAATGAAAATCCTTTTGAAATATGGTTCAAATGTTAATATAAAAAACAAAGAAAATTTGACTCCACTCCTCGTGGCTATTCAGCATTACGGAAATAGGGATCGTTTTATGAGGATGATGCCTCTTCTTAAAAATAAAGGTATTCAATTAATTGATAATATGCACACAATTGATACATATTTACATGCTGCCGGAGTAGGTATAGGAGAAATTGTGAAATATCGTCAAAACTTCAAAACACCATTTGGTTCTAACTTTATGTCCGAGATGTTCGATTTTCACAGAAGATGGTATGATAACGACGGGCATGAGTCTGATTAATAAAATTTAGCTCTTTCGTCTTGCATTGCAGACATGGAACACAAGAGCATTTTTACACCAATTCTAAAGAATATTTGTAACCCACTGTTACAATTGAAATTTTTATAACATAACCAGTTGCTCTCATATAAGACAGTACTACCCGCACAAATTTCTGCTTTTTAATGTAGTTTTATAATATAATAATTATTCTGCATTTTGTAGAAAATATACATGCAATTTACTAAACATGGAACCCAATTGCAAGGGCATGTTATGCACACATTTCATATGATAAATTTATTATTAGTCTAAAAATAGAAAATACAGTAAATTCTGTAATAACCATTACCCCTCCCCCCAATCAAACTTTGACGGAGATAAGTATAATTATGCTTTAAAACAGGAAAATGTCTGCAGACTTCAAAGCACTGTATATTTTCATAAGTCATGACGTCATATAATTAATATTAGATGAGGAAATGACGTAAATTTAAAATTTTCACGATTTCTACAGAAAAAGATGTATATTATGTCGATAGATCATATTATAGGTAAGATTCACCAAGCGAAGGTCTACTCCAGGATGTGTATGTGTGGAATGATAGTATCAAAGAAATATTTAAATAATGTCTGGAGCAGGCCTGTGCTCTATTAATTTTACAGAAAAAATTGAGCAGATTTTGTCCATTTTTTTCTTTCTCTTAAAAATAATACAAAATCTGAATAGTTTGTGACGTGATCAAAACAAATTTGTCAATACCCTGCTTTGAAACATTTAGACATTTCATACAATATGTAAAATTCAGCACATTTTAAGGAATATTAATAAGTTATAATACTACATATGTCCTTTTGATTAAAAGTGAAATTTGAAGATTTTTACTGAAGAAAGGACAATGGTGCTTCAAAATTTTGGCTTGTCATTGGAATTTCGAAAGTAAATGCACGTTTTATAAAATAACTTCATATTTAATTTGAATGATGGTTAAGCTCAGTTTCTTAATTAATCTGTACCTTTTAAATTATCTAGACATATTGATTGTTAAATGTGTAAAATGGTTAAAATCTTTATGTAGCAAAAAATAGTTGTACTGTGCTGACGTGAACATTTTTAGCTTTGAAAAACAAGGCAGGGAAATCGCTTTTTATAAGGCATCTGATCCAACTCGTACGTCGGATGTTTTAAGTGTCCATATTTACTTTAGATCTACTCTTGATACTAAATATTGAATTGATTTTTATTGTTAAAAGCTGTCTGTTATCTTCATACATATTCATATAAAACGTCTCATTTCGAGCATTTATTGTTAATTCACTATATAACATATATTGTTTAAATTATAATGTTCAGACGAACACTTTTGTAATGTTTGCTCTCAAAATACATGAAATGTGAAAAATTTATTAGTCAAATGTGTTACATAAATGTCAATTAAGACATACAGTACTTTTCTGTGCCTTATAAAATACAGATTTATCAAATATGGGTAATTCCCAAACAATTACTTGATTATCAAAATGAACGTAAAATCTTGATAACAAGATGACTGGTAATATTTCAACACATTGCGTGTGAGATGTATATTCTTTACGCATGCCACACATCATAAACGGTGGCCTACAGTTACCATAACATCTGTATCATTTATAGGTTTAAGGATTTTCCCCGTAATTGTCAATTACTTGAAATAAAAAGCGCATTACAATAAATCATCTTTTTTACTTAGATATATCGCAATAATTAAATATCGTTGATTCAAAATAACCCCCCCCCGAAAAAAGTCCATGTAAATAAGATAATAAATCCTATTTAGTAAGTATGAGTACTTATAAGTTATTTCATTTTTCAATGTATTCAATTGAAAAATTCAATTTATACTTTAAAATCGAAGTTGTTTGTATTTATATGTTTATTAATGTAGCCGACTAGTTTGTTTGTGTGTGTGAAAAATTTTAATGGAAGCATTGACTTTGTGTACTTGTCAGGTATAAGAAAATCTACCTGGACAAGATCCAATATTCAACCCTGTGCCTTAAATATAGATTCGATAATAAACATGTGTATGTGCTTGTTAATTTGAAAAGTGGATTGACAGAAATAAATAGGTTAATTGATTTTTTCTGTGATTCCTGCACATGTGATTAATCCACATATCTGCATTGTTGGAGTTTTTGCAACCTTTGTTTGATTTATTTGAGCTTCTGTTTTATTTTTAAAACAAAGTCTTTGCTAGTAATGTATATCTGTTTTACAATCTGTTCTGTTTTTTATACATTATTTTGACATGTAACACTGGAGATCATTATAAAACTTTACTTTGTCATGTAAAAGAATATTTGTATAAGGTTTTTGGATCTTCCCATTTATTGTATTATTAATGCATATCGTCGCTCTCAATAAATTACATCTCACACAAAATTTTTGTTTTGATATTTTATCCACGAAGAAAGCTATAGGTACAGCTTAAATGTAAATGCTTCTTAAAGAAACATTATGGCATGAAGGCCATGCATGTGGGTCGTTTTTTAACATTTAAAAATCTCAATGTTTTTTTTTTAAATTCAAAATTGATTAAATCATATAATAGTTCTTTACGGCTAGGATTGGTCCAAAATATGAAAAAGATTTTTTTTATTAATACAAATAATAATTTAAAAAATAGATAAATTATTTCATACTGAAATGACGACAGACTTATTTGTTTTGTCGATCATGACAAGGAGCACACAGCGGATGTGACCTGTCGGCAAGGAATGCTCACTCCACCATTGCCCCTGATTCCATCTTTGATGTTTTGGAGTTTCGTGTTTGCTGTGCACTATTTTGTATTGTTTCATGGACTTTTGCTTTTGAATACTGTTCCATATGTTTCATACACCATGTCTAAATGAATCAGGTGAGTGTAGTGGCCCCGAGGTCTTGCCATATGCATTTATATGTCTACTCAATTCCAGTAACTCTTGAGAACACACCATTTTTATACAGTAATAAGTAATCAATCAGCTGGAACACAGCTATTCTCACCTATTGTAGTCCTTTAAAAATATTGCTTGGATGATATGGCTTCAATGATTGTTTTTAGTGAACGTCGTTTATATTAATTATATTTATCATTTTGAAAATTGTAGTTAGTATAAGGCAGCGAAATTGGACATGCATAGAAATGTCGCTACATACTTCTAAGGTGAAGAAATATTTAGAACGATTTTAAGACAAAGAAATGTTGAAAGTCATTTTTGGTAATAAGTTAAGTGTATACGAGGGAAACAAACAACATATAAAATAATATACAACTAGCGATCTCAACAACTTCCATTCCTTCTCTTTAACTAGTCTTCTTAAAACAAACCAGCGTGA